GGTCAAAATTGGTTAGAATATATGGTCTAAAATTGGTCAAAATATATAGTTCCGACCATTTTGATTGATCAAAAAATTTTAACGATTTTATTGGTCAGAATCAAAATTTTGACCACTTTGTTGGTCAAAAATTTTGACCATTTTTATTGGTCAAAACGTTTTGACTATTTTCTAACCAAGTTCCATTTGCGACCATCGATTCTTGACGAATTGATTTTGGTCAAGTATTAGTTAGAAATAGTTGTTTTTGACCAATTTTAGACCAAATTGATTATCAAAATTAGAATATTTTTTGTAGTGATGAGGGTGCTGTTTTAAGGTGTGTTTTAGGTTTCCAATATGGCCGTTATGGTGACCGGACCAGAGTAACCTAACTCACTCAACGCCTCTTCTATCCTCACACTGACCAAACTTGCATTATAACCTTCCGGAACCGGACACCGGTTGATGTCTCACCACACCACCGTTTGCGTTACCATTTTCATTCAATTCAACTCTCCAAACCCTAAAAAAAATTCAATTTGATTTGATCTTAAAGAAAATCTCCACTTGTGATTATAAGTGATATTTGAAAATTAAAAAACAAAAAAATCTTTCCGGCCTTCAATTTGTTTATTTATAGCATTGTAAATTAACCGCCTTATTACTTTAAAATTTTGTTTTTGATTAATTATCATGTCTTAGCCGTTGTACAATGTACAAAACTCTACCTGTTTCCATTTTTTTCAACATAAATAAATTATTTTAACCAGAAGCAAAGAGAAGAAAAAAAAGAAAGGAAATTTCTTAATATTTCCTTTTCCAAGAAGCAAAGGAAATATAAAGCGGTGTTGGAACTTTTTAGTATAAAACAAACCACTTACCCTCACACATGAATTAAACAACAATCACTTTTCTCAAAAATCATTACAGAACCCTTTCTAAAGATAATATTTTCTGAAGAATGGCAATCGCTAATAACCCCTTTTCAATGTCGAACATGTTCAATGCTTTACAACATGTCCGTTTCTCAAAAGGAGTCTCCGGTTCCATTCCTCCCCCGGGTTTCACCCCACGCGCCTCCGACACGCGTTTGGACTCTTTGTTCGACCTAATGACAAGCAACGAAAGTGTGACACAATTTAAAGACATGATCTCCAAGTTAAACCCAAGAGAGCTTCTTGTTATGACGTCGCTGCTGACGTCAGACTCCGTTTACTTCACGGCGATCGTCGGAAACAAGAACGGGTCGTTACGCAGAAACTCTTGAGAAAATCAGATGACGTGGACTCGTTCTTGTGCGCGGCTATCTTGCGCTGCTTCCTCAAGATCATGACCGGTAAATACTCATCCTATGTGGCAGTCCGAGCGATGTTGGTCTTCGATAAGGAGAAGAAAAGGCAATGTACGAGCACACTATCCATCACGCGCTCGACATAGCGCGTGACAAACACGGCTGCATCGCTCTCAACGAGGTAATAACCGACTTGGACGATCCATACTACAGGAACCAGCTGCTAGACTTGGTCGCATTCAACGCTCTCTGTCTAAGCAACGATGCTTCAGGGAACTTTGTGGTACAACACGTGCTTAAACTGAGTGACTTGCGTTCCACGTATAACATCGCGGTTAACCTACATGGCCATTGCGTTGATCTGTCGTTAAAGAAGTACGGTAGCTACATCGTGGAGAACCTTCTGGACGCTGCGGAGGAGTCGATGGTTTTGGTGGTTGATGAGCTTTTGTGGTGCGAAGGGGACAGGTTGATGAGGCTGGCGAGGAGTGAGTTTGGGAATTTCGTGGTGGCCAAGGCACTGAGAGTCACCAAGGACATGTCTAGGGTTGATCTGTTTTCGGCTTTGGTGCATAAGCTCATGCCTTTTATCGAACTCTTACGCAGGTCTCACGGAAGCAACATTGCAAACATCTTGGACTCGATTTCTGTTTCTTAATAATTAGCATCGTCTAAAAGTAGTCGATCTTGTGAAAATCTTGTTAAAGACGTGTTTGTCATTGATATTTTGTATAACGATCCAATATATACAGAATTATATTTCCTTGGCGTCTTCGATAGTTTAACAACAGATTCAGCAAATCCCCAGTTCTGAGAAACAATTAGTTTGATATCATTTGGTATTTATCATCACAGTTTGACAAAATGTATTTACAATTCTGAATAAGCAAACAAAAAAATCGAAGGGTGCACAATTATCGTTGGACTTGGACCCCTTTTACATACATGCATCCACATTTTCCCACAACTCCGACCAAACCAATCTGCACAAATCAAATCAATCCAAGTCACCGAGACATCAAAACACCTTTGCTCCTGCAAATATATATGCATTGAAAGAGAGTATCAGAACCAATTGATAACGAACGTTGACAACCAAAATCACACATTATATATTATAAAGAAAGATTCAGTACCTTCAAAATCTGAAATGCTCCTGGGGAAATTTATGTTGGGGACTGCATCTTTGATATGAGCATGCGCAGCAGCGGAAGCAGTTTGTGAGTATGATTCTTCCAACCATTTGGGATCAACCAGAGCAAGCCCAACAAATGAAGAAACCTCTTTTATGTCAGAATCACATCCCATATGTTCTATTATACACATCTCCGGGGCTAGGAATCCGGAATTTGGGTTCTTCGTAGCCGTTGTTGTATAGGCTCCCATTAAATCCCAGCCGTTCGTTCCTAAGAAGCTCAGCCATGCCTAGAGAGTTCACACTTTGGCCTTCATTCCGCTTGTCCCAGTGGCCATTAGACAAGATTGAATTTGCAGATGGTTGTTGCCTTGAAAGCTGTGAGAAAGGAGATAAACTACTTCCCTGTGTCTGATGATCCATTAGCCTTGAACTAAATCCGTAAGGATCGTTACGTGAAGGAGATAAGTTGCTGATGTTTCTGAGATCATGATGATACCCATTGACTTGTTGTTGTGCAGCACACAATGATTGTTGCCTCAACATTTGTAGTGCTGCTTCGTTTTCAAAAGAATTCAGTTGCGATGAGAACCCTGATCTAACATTTAAGTCTGCATTTACCATTCCTCTTCCAACAGCTAAAATTGCAGGATCCGCAAACTCGATATCCCCTGCTCCACCATTCAGATTACCAAGTGGAGGAGGCGGTACTTGATATGCATTCCTCAACAAGGAGGTAGAGTCAAGAAAACGAGTTCCTACGAAATAAGTGCACAATAGTTTTAAACTGTAGCATCAGCCGACTCTAAGTTACTCAAAAACAAGAAGAAATGAAATACCTTGTGCAGTATCTGAAGATAGGCCCACTCTATCATGTGAAGAGAAGCCAGGAGGAGGTAACCTGTTGGGAGCAGAAAATCCAGGAGGGGCAGATACTTGGGGTCGTGAAACTGCAATAGGACAATGGCGAAACAGTTGAAATATAGCAGAAAAATATCCAAAAACAAGAAACATGAAAAGCCATAAACTATAAATACTAACCAGGATTCTTGTACGAGTTGTATAAAGGACTGGCAGAAAAGTTTTCCAATCCACCAGAGTGGTTTGAAGTAAATCCATTGAGACTCCCGAGATTATCCCGATACAAATCTTGGCTCACTACAGGCTGCTGAATAGGCTGATCTCTAGACAATTGCCCATAATTGCTATAGTTCTCACCATTAAACGCTTGATTACTAGATTCTTCGTACCGCGCAAAAGAAAATCTGGACTGACTGTTATGTTGCTTTAGGAGGTTGAAAGGTTTAAGAGTACTAGATCGCTGATCCGCTCCACCGAGTAACTCTGCCAAATTGTGGGGTGAAGTCAACGATTCATCCCATGGATCAAAGTCAAGTGACAAAATGTTTGAGACTGAGTCATCCTCTGCATTGCGAATTTTGTTCCTGCCTTCGTTAGCAAACAGAGAGTGCTCCACATTGGACATAGATTTCTCACCATATCCATTTGGAAGATGCAATCTATCACAACCGCTGTTCAAAGCGGATTGCGAATCTACATTGTTCACACCTGAAACTTCACCAGGCAGGCAAGAAAGAGAAGCCAAATGATTTGTGTCCAACATGGAACTTGAGGAATTAGACAGAAACCACGAGTGGATAATATCCTCTCCAGGGTGATGCCGTTGGCTATCAAGTGATGATATATCCTCCAGTTCCAATTTTGAGCTAGTTTGCATCTGGGATTGCAAATCTGATCTCCAATCCCACTCTGGCCTTGTGCGGGGGACCCCATTCTCTGACGGGATAGTTTTCTCATCAGGGTTTATAGAGCTATCCATCCTACATTGTTCTAAATGTGGCAAACTGAATACACCATGACCAGGTTGTCTAATAGAACCTTGATCACACTGACTACCAATAGCAACTGCAATATCAGGACCTTCATCATCCGTAGAATTTGCAGTTACCCCCATGCGTGCAACACCAACTGACAAGTTGCTTACGGTAGGGCCATCTTCTACAACTTCATTTGAATCGTCAAACGACTTCACAGTAGCTGAAGGCTTGTCACAGTCTCCAACATCATAGGACGAGTCTACTGTACTAGATAATGGATTGCTAGTTCGATCTCTATCAGGTGAGGTAGTTCTCTTGGACCCAGAATCAACCACAACATTATGCTGCAAAGGCCTCAACACACTAGGTTTGCTTTTTTCAACAACCATTTGGCTTTCTTCTTTCCGAGATGGTCTTTTAAGAATGTCACAAGAGGATACAGGCCCATGAGCTGCGTTTGCAACAACAGCAGAAAAGGCCAAGTTTCCATTTACTGATGTTGATCTTTGTTTATCAGAAGATCCATTTGAGGTAATCGAAGTTGCTGAAGACTGCTGGTTCGCAATATGTGTCCCCCTGCAACATAATTCCTTATTAGATTGAGCAGTAAAAAAAAACATTGCATATATAGCTGCAAGTGAAAACTTACCATGACGCCGCAGCAGGAAGAGCTGTGGATCTGCTAGAGCTCCCGCTCCCACTAGGTGGAGAATACCTGGGAGCACTTACTGCATTCTGTTCATATAAAATTAATTGAGACGAGAATAATAAGCTCAGAAAACTGATAGAATTTCATAAGCTAGTCATGCGACATCAGCAAGTTATCCACCAACTAGGATTAACAAATAGGAAATGCTTCAGACGTGGAGGGTGTTGAGTACATTGTGGTAGGTTTGGGGCTTTTTGAGGTTTGAGAGCATTTTTTGGGTTTTCTTCAACAAAACCAGTAGTTCCTAAGGTTATTTGGTTTGTTACGTCTATAACTCTTTTGTTGTCTGTATTTGTTCTGAAGAGAGTATTAAAGCAATACTAATTATCAAACATATCACAAACATAGGATGTAGTTACAGAAGGGTAAAGAAAAAGGTAAATTTTAAAATCTATGTAGGCAAAGCAAATGAAGTTCTAAGGAAATGGCGTTTAATAAATCTGCTCAGAAGTTAAGAAAAAATATTCTTTGAAGATCTAGCTAAATCACACATTATGTCAAGGGAAAGTCGATATTTATCAGAACTTACAGTTGAAGGAACTTTTACAATTGGTTTTGTAGTAGAATTGTCACTGCAATAAGCATCCAGCGGTGGAGGTAGCATGCTCCCTGAACGGTACTGCATAATATTTGTTGCTCCAGTGATTTGTTGAACTCTATTCCTTCAAAATTACTATAAGACTTAACTAATCATCCAAAAATACCAGAGTAACCATTGCATTACTCATACTAAAATAACTGATCCACAAAAGAGAACAATCCTGAATGAAAGAGGGAATTTATAAAACTTAGATGATAAAAATACCTTGTATATGCTGATATGATCTCATCTTTTGTGAAACTATCCTCTTGAGAACCAACCTCATGCAAATAGAGACAATCAGGATTGACGCATGGCTGGGAAAAAAACATGCAATACATCACTCCAAAGACATATTCAACTTCTAAGTGAAAGGAGGTAACCAAAAGAACAACTCAGGCGCCAGAAAGCAGAACAAGAACCCATAGAAGACATACCACATTTCTGAGCCATTGATGACAATACTTGGTTGTCCCAAAACAAGCCCTGCAATTTTTATATATGTGGAACAGGCATATGATCGTTAAGTGGATGAAGAAAATTCAAATACTTACCACATAGTTTCAAACAAAAAGAAAGCCAAGGAAGCAGGGAAAAACTTACTTCAGTGGTTTACCATCCAAGATAAACCCATGAACAGCCTGAATGCAGCGTACAGCCTCCTCCTCTTTTCCATAAGTAATATATCTGGGATACAGAAATTTTTATAAGACAAAAGCAGTAATGTAAGAGGAAAATTTTGTTGATAAGGGAAATATATACAGAAACGCACACACTGCATGTACTGTTTGGGAATTGTTGGATAACACCAGATGCTGTTCGAGACATGGAAACTTTTAGAACTTTTCCATACTGACCGAAATATTCTTTATGGTGGAGCAGCTGAAAGAAAAATGGAGCACTAGTCATATAGCAATCCACAAAGAAATGATTAAGAGGCTATGGAAGGAAGTTCTCATACATCTTCATCTGCTAGATTAAGAGGCAACCCAACAACGTAAACAAGATTCCTTTGGACCACTCTCACACTGGTGAGGTTCTTTCTCCCTTCAGAAGTTTTTGATTTTGACTTTTGAGTCTTCTTGCGCTCCATATTTCCTTCGGAGCCCAGACTAAGAAAAGGTAGACAAAAGCGATCAGCAAAGAACGTCCCATACTAAAATTAAATCCGCTGTATCAAGCATCATATTACAAACCTGTCGCAATTAACAGTCATCCCTACAATCTTCTCTTTGTCATATGGAGTACGACAAGCTGGACAACGCCCTTCTATCTGATCTTTCTCAGCCATGTCCACAATGTGATGCCAGCACCAAACACATATCTGAACCACATACAACAAAATTATTGACAGAAGAAATATCGATGTTCAATGAGGCCAGCACAAGAGTCCACTGAAGCTTGCTAATCACATATATTCTACTTTTCGTGCTATTGAACATTGTGTTAACTATTTAAGCAAACCGGTCCTCACAACAATTGTCAGTTTTAAGACTAAGCGATAAGATTCTGCGGGAATTGAAGGCAGATGCCAATACCTGATAGCCACATTTGCAAGGCTTCAATTGCTGATCAGTGGGATCCATCTCTTCAGCACAAAGTGGACAAGTCTTCTCTCCATGGTCACTCATGGTGGTCTGTCAAAAATGATTATAAAACACCATCAATCATA